GTAATAACTGAGAAGAACTGGGTGACTATGTAAGTCACAGTAATGAGTCCCTCAAAAGGATCACACTGCAGAAACCTGAGTTTGTGAGGGTTTAGGCCAAAGTGTGCGTGTGTAGGGGGGTGGGGTTGGCTGGCTGCATGTGCAGGTGCACGTAGGGGGAAAAACGGGTTTGTCCTGTTGTGCTGAGGTCTTGGGAGAGGCAGGGCCCTACCCTGCTGATACCACAGGGCACCCAGGAGTGTGTGCTCTCACAGAGGGGACAGTATCATGTGATCTGGGCCAGCTAGCTTTCTCACCAGTAAGGTGAGGCTACATTCACTGCCTTACCATAGGTGGTGTGTGGGGATAAATGAGGATTATGAGCTCCCAGCGGAAACAGGGCTATTTAAATAAAAAGTGTGGCTTCATCAGCTTTTCTGCATTGGCCCAAAGCAGTCTGTGTTCTATGGTACTCTCCCAGGGACTCAGCGGTGCACCTTCTCCCTGGGAACACAGCAGGCCAGGTACACACCAGACCACATGGACCCAAGTCTAGACATCTATGCCTGGCGAGCCTCCTTCCCTCATCTTCCTTGACACCACTTATGCCATTAGCACTGACACCCATCCTGAGGTTGCCACACAGCATAGAGTTTCCCTAAAGACATCACCCCCCTAGATTCGAACTTGAAATTGGAAAATCAAGGAAGCACATACTCCTCCACTGTAAAATTTGAACTCATTATAGAGTTCCACAAAAGGAGCAGTGAAAAAAAAGCTACGTCGGATAACCTAACATTTCCCAACTTGAAATATCTATGGAGGTGGTTTTATACTTTGATGAGCATACAAGGCAACTGGGAAGTGACTTGCTAACCCAATTTCCAGAAATCAAAATTTGATAAAACTGATATGAAACCTAGGAATCTTCCTTTTAACAAGGACCCAAATGTGATTTTAGTATATTTATTTTAAATATTTTTTCCACTTATTTGACAGAGAGAGCTCGTGAGAGAGCACAAGCATGGGAGAGGCAGAGGGAGAGGGAGAAGCAGGCTCCCTGGATCCCAGGACCCTGGCATCATGACCCGAGCTGAAGGAAGAAGCTCAACCCACCTGAGCCATTCAGATGCCCCTCAAAAGTGATTTCAAAGCAAACTTCTAAACTGGGTGGCACTTTGAGAAATTCTGGCCCAGGGACAGGAGGAACAGCATATCTCAAGTGGGACGCCCGTGACTCAGGAGGTCTGAACACTGGCCTGTGGAGGTCATAGGGACAGTGGTGTGAACTCCAGGAATCATTCCATTTACAGCTGACTCTTTGTGTACTTTTCCCATCCTCATGGGGTTTCACTTGCAGCAACACATTCAAGGTGAGCCCATGCAGATTTCTGGAGCTCTTTCTAGACATAGCCCCATCATCTCCAGCACTGAGCCCCACAAATGCCCCCCATCAACCCTTTGAAACTCTGATTTCTCAAGTCATCACGACTGCTGTGTTTTACTTGAGTTTCCTCTCCTCCCCCAAGGTCCAGAAAGTGCTTCCTGGCAAGGCTTGCCATGGTAGTTTCTTCTGCCTCGGTGACCACGGTCCAGCGCTGCATGTTGTCCAATGCAAGAAAACAGTACGTTTCACATCTGTCCAGTTTTCACATTGTAACATGTATGGGGAACCTGCCCCAGCATGACCAGACATAGCAGGTTCTCTCTCGTTACTTCTAAGGGCTTCTCTTTTTTGGACATATTTTTGAGTTGCATCACATGCATCTAGTTGTAGATTTCTCCAAACTTTTCTTTTCTTTTTTTTTAAGATTTTAAAAATTTATTTATTTGACAGACAGAGATCACAAGTAGGCAGAGAGGCAGGCAGAGAGAGAGAGAGAAGGGGGGGATGCAGGCTCCCTGCTGAGCAGAGAGCCCAATGCTGGGCCCAATCCCAGGACCCCGGGATCATGACCTGAGCCAAAGGCAGAGGCTTAACCCACTGAGCCACCCAGGTGCCCCTCTCTGAACTTTTCTTAATTGATGCTCATTATGCTTCCTTTATCTGCGGACTGATGTCTTTCATTGGTTCTCAAACCCTCTCAGGCGTCCTCTTCACAAATACTTCTTCTCTTCCATGATCTTTGTTTTCTTCCGTGGACCTCCAGTCTGACACTCTTGTTCTGCCCTCCTAGTTGTGAAACGCCTCAGTCACACTCTTCCACACCTTTCCTCTTTGTGGTCCATTCTGGGCAATCCTTTCCTGCTTGTCCTCAAGTCTAAAATTCCCTCAACTGGGTTTTATCTCTTTAACTTTTCTGTTGGGATTTTACTCCAGTGGTTAATTTGTCATAGTTCTATGAAGATATGATTGACACACAAAAACTTGCACATACTCAATGTACATGACTGCATGAGTTTCGGCATGTGCACGCACCTGTGATACCATCACCATCACCACAATTCAACAATTACATTTTTAAACAATATTCTCTTTGGTCCTTTCCTGTTTTTAATAATTTTTTTTTGTTTCAAAGCAATAAAATACTTACAGAAGAGTTGAACATAGAGTAAATTCAAAAACCCTTTTCCCTGAGCCATTTGACAACAACCTCCTGACTTGATACTGTATCATGCTCAAGTACCTTGATGTGAATTTCCAACAAGCACTTTCTTCCTACCTATCATGTACAGTCACCAAAATAAGAAAGGTCACTTTGTTACCTTTCTTTCCTCCTGTCCTCAGATCCTATTCATTTTTACATATCGTCCAGTAGCAGTCATTACAGTGAGGATGTTTTTCTGCTTCCAGGCAGCAGGCTGTCCCTCTGCAGCTCTGCCATGCAAACAGCTCCCAGCTCCTACACCTTTCTCACCTGGTTCTGATCCCACCTGCATGGAAGCACCCGCACAGAGCTGGTGTGCTGACATCCCATCCACTTACTGGAGGAGTAGGAGTGGCCCCGGCTTAGGAGTGTCTTTGACCATGGGAACTGATACATTTCATAATATTTACCTGAGTTTATCTTATATATCCCCAAACTCAGTTAGAACAGAGCCTGAAGGTCTGGCTTCTTGACAGATGTTTAAAGATCGTTCCGTTTTCTCCAGCCAGAAGCAGTGTACCAGCCAGAGCACCTCTTTAACACGAGCAATGATGTTCTACACACAGCTGACGTTCTGACTTCATTAAGTTTCTAGGACAAGGTAAAAAGTCAACCCAAAGTGAAATCTGTGGAGAAGAAAAGGGGTTTGTTAAACCTTTACTCACAGTAATTTATCAATGTCTTCAGATATTTCGTGTCTGTGCTCAAGTTTTTCTAGCGGGGATCTGATGAAAAAATGTAGAGATTCTTGGCCTAGAGAAATTCATTTTTAGGTCTTTCATAACCGAGAGAGGTCTTTCCTCAATTACAACCTGGCTGGAAAGTGTCTAGGAGATTGTTTCATCTTTGGGTATTTTGTTTTTTGAATAATCCTCAAGATCACCAGGATATATGTGTGTGTGTGTGTGTGTGTGTGTGTGTAGCATTAGATCAGCAGCGAAACCTCTTTAAAAACATATTCTGAGTTACGAAGTCCATCCTCCACTGTGTAAAAAATAATGCAAGGTGATTAGAGATTCAAACCATTTGAAATCCGGATGTGCTGATGTGCTTTCTGAGGGAGACTTAAGTTATTCCAGGTTGCTTACCAAGCTTATCATTATTATTTTTTGCAACGATTACATGTAGATGAATCAAAGTAACTTTTAAACTTATTCTTTGGTTTTTATCTTTTTGATGAAAATTATATTAGTTATTAATCTAGGAAATCTTATTTTTCCAAACATTTTATTATTAAAAACTTCAAACGTATGTAAAAGTTCTCGGAATTTTATAGTTCTTGTAGTCCACCACTAGGGTTTTGTCACATGTCCATCTTCCCACGCAGGAAGCCACCTGCTGCCTGGACTGCGGGGCCGCTTCCTGAGGGTGTCTTACCTCTCCACGCTGCCCATCCGCTCTCCTGCTGCCAGAGCCTCTCCCTAAAACACAAATTTTATCATGTAACTACTGTTGTTAGAGCCTTCTCACACGCCCTGAAGCTTCAGGAAAATAACCCATAGTCCCGGATACGTCTGGTCCTTGTTCTGGTCCTTCCTTGTTCCCCTCTCCCCTCACAGCTTCCTGAGCACCTTCCCCCTCCAGCTCGCTCTGCTGGCGTTCTTGGTCCCTAGGAAGTCCTCCGACATCAGTCTCTGCTCGGCGTCCTCTTTCTGCCCCGACGGCCCTTTCTTTCCTTCCCCAGGAAGCCCCCACCGTCGCCGTCACTGAGTCCCGGTTTGCAGCTCTTGTGTCCTCTAAGACCCCACTGCATCCACAGCCCCCACGCCTCAACTACCAACCAGCACCCAGGGCTCCCCAAACCCGTGTCCTTTCTTTGACGTCTCTCACTAGCACCTCGTTTTCTCGCCCTTCTCGCTGCTCAGAAGCGCAAGCGCCCACGGACCTCGGCGATCCACCGCGCACTGTGCGCGGGCGGCACCGGCAGCCGGGCCCCGGACGCAAGCCCCGCCTCTCCGGGCACGTCCCGCCCCGGCGCTGACGGCCCCGCCCCGGCCCTGACATCGCCGCCGGCCCCGCCCACCGCCCCGCCGGCCGGAAAGCGCGGCGCCCACTGCTGCAAAGCGCCGTGCGACAGAACCCGGGACCGTACTACGGCCGGCAACCGCTCCCGACGCCGCTGCAAGCCCTACGGCTACGGGAGTCGAGTGCGGTGGCTGCCCTCCTGCTCGCCGTCTGCGCTTGCCCCGCGTCCCTGGAGCCGCCCGGAGCCGCCCCGCCGCGGAGGAGGCCCGCGCCCGCCCCGCCGGTCGCCATCATCCCGGCGTGCACCGCGGCGGCGGGCGGGCCGGCGGCCATGTTGCGATAGTCTGTTGTTTTCTTCCTGCGGAGCAGCGGGGCCGGAGAGGTGGAGACCGCCGGCCGCCTCCCCCTGTGCCCGGTCCCGGCCCGCCGCCCCCCGTGTCCCGCCGCGCGTCTCTGGGCCCCGGCCGGCCGGCGGCCCCCCGGCTGGCTTGGCGGGGCGACCCTGAAGGCCCTCGAACACCATGGCGGCCGCCCTGGGAGCGGGCGGAGGAGCCGGCGCCGGAGGTACGTGAGCCGCCCCGCGCGGCGGGCCGGGCCGGGGTTGCCTCGGCCCGCGTCGTCCTGTCTCCCGCGTCGGGTCCGCGCTGCGGTGGCCCGCGAGCCTGCGCGCAGCCCGGGACCCCTCGGCGCGGCGGCCGGCCGCGGGCGGCGAGGCTGTGGCCTGCGGGGCCGCGGCCGCTCGGACCAGCCGTGCGGGCCACCGCGTTTGCGAGGGGGCCCTGCGGGCTCGGGTGGGCTCCGGGCCGGGAGGAAAGCCGCGTCGTGCGGGCATGTGGGGCGGTGCGGCGCCTCGCCTCGGGCCCGGGGTCCTGAGGGCCGAGCCCCGGCGCGCGGAGGCGCTGCTGCGGGGCCCCCACCGTCCGGCGAGCGCCTCTTTGCGCCTCCTCGGGCCTCCTCGGCGGTGCGCGGGCGCGGCGGGGCCAGGTCGCCCGCGTGCCGAGCCCGACCCGGCGGTTTCCCCGCTCGCGGGCCTCGGCGGTGTAGGCCGGGCGCCGGGCAGATTCCGGCAGCCCCGCCGCGGACGTCAGCCCTCGTCGCTGCGGAGCTTTACTGGGGAGCGCGTGAGGGGCTCGGGCCTCGGGCCTGCTCGGAAGCCCCGCCGGAGGAGCGCCGGCCCGTCGGGGCCCCCGAGTCGGGCTCTGGCGAGCGCGTTGCCGCCGCCGCGCCCGGAACTCCGGCCAGCGTGTGCCAGCGTGTGTGTGGCGGGGAGGGACCGCGGGGACGGCGCGCGGAGCGTCCCTCCGGCCGGCCTGGTTCGCTGCGCACGTCCTTCCGCCGGCGACTCTGCGTGTCCGCGGCGAGCTCCTCGTCGCCTGGGAGCCCGCGCGCACCTTCGCGGTTTCTTGCCGGGCCCGGGCCCGTGTGCGGGGTCGGAGCGCGCGCCGTGCGCGGGGCCTTCCCGGAGGCCGCGGCCGCGTGAGCACGGGGTGTGCGGCGGTGCTCCCGAGCGCCCGCTGTCCACCTGTGGCGCGGCCGTGTGGGCGAGGGCAGGCGTCCTCGAGTTCGGCTCTGGGCAGTCTGACGGTTGCTGTCTCCGAGCACTGGGCGGGCTTCATCCGCGGTGCGTGGAGCCTTCGCTCGCGTTCCATCCCGGGCCGCTGGGCGCCCTGAGACCGAAGCCGGGGCCCTCGCGGGTTTGGGAGACCCGGGGACTGGCTCCCGGGGCCCGTCCACGCCCACGCAGTCCCGCCGCGCCGCGGCCTCCCTCGCTCTGCGCAGCCTTGCTTCCTGCTGAGCGCGCATCCCAGCTCGGAGTCGTATTTTGTTGTTTACTTCTTTCTTCTTTTTCTCAAGGTCTTACTTATTTGACAGAGCACAAGCAGGCAGAAGCGGGGAGGGGGAGCAGGCTCCCCGCTGAGCAGAGAGCCCGATGCAGGGCTCGATCCCAGGGTCCTGGGATCATGACCTGAGCTGAAGGCAGAGGCTTAACCCACGGAGCCCCCCAGGCGCCCTTGTTCACTTCTTCTTTAAAATAACCTGTCGTGTAAGATTGTGTAAGGAGTGTGTAAGCCCCGCGAAGACGGGAGTGCTGCCTGCCTCACCTGCCGCTTACCCCGAGCTCCGGCCCACTGTGTTCAAGTGATTCCACGAAGGCGGGAACTGAAGTAGGAAATGTCCTTACGAATCCCTGTGTACCCTTTTCTGTGCACATTTAAGTTGAGCCATTTTTAGCTTTGTGACCTTTTATGGTACCAGCGAAATCATGTAGTGTTCTGCACTTGCTTTGTTCCCCTAAAGTAGGTCCTGGGGGTTGGGGGGCCGCCTGGGGGGCGCAGTCGGTGAAGTATTGGACCTCGGCTGGGGTCATGATCTCGGGGTCCTGGGATCGAGCCCCTCATGGGGCTCCCTGCTCCTCGGGGAGTCTGCTTCCCCCTCTCCCTCTGCTCTGCCCCTCGCATTCTCGCCGTTTCTCTCTCTCAAATAAATAAAATCTTAAAGAAAAAGGAGGTCCTGGGGATCTTCCATGTCAATAGGTGAGAGTTTTATGGATCCACTATTGATCATTTAATCGTTTTTCTGTTGATGGGCCAAGTTCAGTTACTTCTACTTCTAAACTGCTGTGGAAAATACTGTGCTGAACATCTACAGACACAACTTGGTGTGCTTCTGCAGGTGTTTCCGGAGAACCCCTACCTCTAGAGGTGGAAATACTGTGTTTCAAGTTACATTTATTTAAAATCGTGGTAGCTGTCGCCAGTGCCCTTAAAAACAAGTTGGTGCCACTTTATCCTCCCTCAGTAGTGGGGGGGGGGGGTCCGTTTTTCATGCCCCTTTTAAGAGTCTTTTTCATTTTTGTTCATCTTGGGACAGAGAAATAACCATAATGTTTTCATATTTTTTGATCTCCAGACAAGTCATGCATCTTCTTATATATTATTTTTCTGTGAGTTGTATGTTTATATCATTTCGCCTTTTTTTTAATCGGGTCGTTGATCTCTTTGTTATTATTTATACATTTCTTCACTCTGTTTTTTTATCAGAATTATTAACCCCTTTTAAAAAATTCTGCTTCCCCTATAAATAACTTTGTTTTAAACTTTTCACTGTATGGAAGTTTAAAATTTTTATTCTTAAATGTCACTTGGTTTTACAAGTTTTTTCTTTTTCTTCTTTTTGTAATGGTGTCTCTATGCCAAGAGTTCGTCTATGCCTTTTTTTTTTTTTTAAAGATTTCATTTATTTATTTGACAGAGATCGCAAGTAGGCAGAGAGGCAGGCAGAGAGAGAGGAGGAAGCAGGCTCCCTGCTGAGCAGAGAGCCCGATGCGGGGCTCGATCCCAGGACCCTGAGATCGTGACCTGAGCCGAAGGCAGAGGCTTTAACCCACTGAGCCACCCAGGTGCCCCTCGTCTATGCTTTTTAACATTTTATGCTTCTGCACTTTTTTATATTTAGCTTTTATTTCTTGGAGTTTTATTCTGGGTGTTCTGTGGTTTTGGGACTTTTAACAGTTCTAATATGATTTATTGAACTCTCCATCTTTTCCATCTTCGTAATATATTAAGTTCCCATTAAGTTTTTTACAATATACTGTTTCACAGGGTGTGTGTGTGCATATATATGCAGGTACGTACGGGTAAATGTTATGCATATATGATGGTGTGTTCCTATTCAGAAATATCTTGATTAGTCCTGTGCATTTAATAAAAATGTACTTCAGAATCATCAATCACGTTTTATAAAGAATTCTACGGGAATTTTTATTGAGATGGCATTGAGTCTTTTTACGTAATTTGAGAGTGTTTGACGTTTTTGCAATATGGGTCCTTTCATCTAATAACAAGAATGTTTCTGTCAAGCTTTTTGTTTTTGTCAGTCATCTCTACCAAACGTTTATTTGTTTATTTGGTACCTGCCCTGCTGGGCACTAATCCAAGAGCCTGGATACATAGTAAATATACTAGAGATCCCTATCCTTATGGAACTTACATTAAGTAAAAAAAACCTTTTTTTAAGGATTTATTTATTTCAGAGAGCCTGTGCCCTGGGGAGGGGGAGGAGGGGGAAGCAGACACCCTGCTGAGCGGGTCCCCTGACATGGGAGTCCATCTCCTGACCCTGAGATCGTGACCTGAGCTGAAATCAAGAACTTGGACACCTAACGAACTGAGCCACCCAGGCGCCCCAGTAAAATTTTCTTTATGTAGGTCTTTCACATTTCTTGTTAGTTTTATTTTCAAATACTTTGTATTTGTCATTGTGGATGGCGTAGTTTTTTTATCTTTGTACATTCTCATTTGTTATTGGCCTATTACAGAAAAGCTTTTTAAAAATATAATTGAATTATATGTAGCTGGTTTTTTTTGAATGTTGTTTTAATAGTTTGGTACTTTAGATTTTCTGGTTAGTCATACCTGCAGAAACTTCTGGTATTTATAGCTCTCATTTCTTTTTCTTTTCCTTGTCTCAGAGGCTGTCACTGTCAAGTCCTCCAGTATGATGTTGAAGAATATGGGTGGTGACAGCATCTCTGTCTTGTCATCTTGTTCTGAGTTTTAACGAGTGTTCTTTGAATGTTTTGCCATTAAATATGGTGTTTACTGTAGGTTTCTGATAGTGTTTTAGCAAAGAAAACTATTTTCTGAGTTGGGCATTTAATTTTATCGAATGCTTTTTCCATATCTGTTGCGGTGATTTATGGGATCCCCTTTTCAGTCTCTTAATGTATTGATAGACTTCTAGTGCTGAACCGGCCTTGCGTTCTTGGTTTCAAAACCTTCTGTGTGCTTTTTAATATATTAAATATATATTCTTTTTAACATATTGTTCTTTTTAGTATATTGTTGGACTTCAATTTTAGGATTTACCTGTGATCATAAGAAAGAGTGGATTACAGTTTTTTTCCTTTGTGTGTGCTTTGTGCTATCCTGGGTTTTTTTTTTTTTTTTTTTTTTAAATGAATCACTGGCTTCCTAGAATGAGTTGTGAGGTTTTCTGGGACAGTGTAAAAGATAAAAAAAAATTTAAATTAAAGTTGGAAGAACTTTTGTCTGAACAGCAGTTGGGTTTGATAGCTCTTTATTTTTCAGTTTCTTCAACCATTATTGGTCTACTTAGCTTTTTAGAAATCTCTGGGTCATTTTTTAAAAGTTTATTTATTTGTTTAATCTCTACACTCAAAATGGGGCTTGAATTCATGACCCCGAGATCAAGAGCTGCATGCTCTTCTGACATAGAGGTCAGTTTTAATAAATTTTTCTGGAAGAGTAATTTTTTATGTTTATATTTTTGAATTAATGCAGGGTTCAACACTACCATTTCTGGTGTGTTACAGGTAAATTTTTTGAGGCTCGTGTGTGTGAACAAATTCTTTATTCTTATACTTGATTGATGAATTTGGTTGGGCCTAGAATTCCAGACTTGGATTCATTTTCCTTAGATTTTTGGTGCTGGTGCGGTGTTGTTTTTCTGGCTTCCAGTTCCTCTGTTGAAAAGTCTGATGGCATTCGGAGTCCTTTGTATATGACCTTTTTCTTTCCCTGGAGGATTTAACAGTTCCTTCT